CAGCGCATGCATCCGGTCGTTCAGCTACCTACTCTTGACTGCATGCAATCTTGAATGGTGAATGGTGAATATCGATGCCATACCCATGGAGCCCAACAGGAATTGACAACCAAATCTCGATTGGCTCCCGCGCTTCCACTCACCACGCCCTCACCTCCAACACCACATTCAAGCTAATCTCTCGCTCACCCTATCCTCGCAATTCTCATCGGCTTCGATCCGTCGCAATTCTTGGGCTCTCCGTGACAAGTGTTCAGGTACGCGCTCATTTTCGCTCTCTTCAATCGCGCACGCGACCCATCCATCGACTTGCGCACTGTGACGGGGCGCCTATTTCTGCCTTGGATACATCACTAAGCGGTCGGTCAGAGCTATAAACACCAATCGGGAGGGGATTGGCTTATCGAGTGTTGGAGACAATGTCGGACAATGAGGGATACGACAAGTGAGTTCAAGCTCGATGAGATCTGAACAAGGGTCGCAGAACAATGCCCCGAGTCCAAGACTGCGCGCATATCAACAGAGACGCAGAGAAGAGCGCTGAGCTTCATCCCTACCATCGCCTTCTTCGGGCGTCCTTGGCTGAACCGTCACCTTCTACGTGCAACGCAGCTACGAAGAGCAGTTCGACGAGGTGGAGGATCAGTATGAGGAGCCCGCCGAAGGGTATGCGGAGGATGCTATTGTAGAGTCTGGGGATCCGGATGGAGCGCAGTTGGGAGGCACTGCCAATACGGAAAGGATCACCACGCCCTACATGACCAAGTATGAGAGGGCTAGGATCTTGGGGACGAGAGCTTTGCAGATTAGGTGCGTGCCGGGGTGTGCATGCGAATGGACAGAGGTTTGTGGGGGTGGAAGACAAAGCAGGAGTGGTGCCTGCGGCTTGACTTTGATCTCATTAATCGTGCTGATGCGCCAACGCTTCACCGCGCGATACCGCAACGTCGCGCAGCATGAATGCGCCAGTGCTGGTGCCTACGGATGGGGAAACGGATCCTCTGAACATTGCTCTCAAAGAATTGGAAGCCAAAAAGATTCCTCTGGTGGTAAGGCGCTACCTGCCCGACGGATCTTTCGAGGTGAGACTTTGTCGAACGCGCCGAAGACTTTCACTCTCATCTGATCCTCACTCACAAATTGCGACTCGCAAATGGCGCGCTCTCTCACTCGCTCCAGGACTGGGCTGTCTCGGAACTCATCATCAACTGATCAAGCGCATGGTCTCTGGGGTCGAATCGCGGTCGAAGGAGCGCTTGCAACGCTTCACAAAAAAGAGAAACCCACATGCCGATCTCACTGCTTCTTCTGTGTCACGCTTCTGGGTCGACAGCCCGTCGCTTCGCCAATGGAATACGTCGTCACGTGCATAACTTCGTATGGGCAGGTCTCGTGAGAGGCGCAATTTTGCAAGACAGATTAACGATCAGAGCATGAATCTGAATGATGAATCATCAAACCAGGAGAGCCTCTTCGCTTGACAGCGGCGCTCTAATGAGCGGGAACAAAATGTAAATGGCAAAACCAATCTTGGATCCTCAGCTTCCTTCTCGCGCCAACGATGAACCTTGCTCAAACCCGAAGGGACCAAGACGCCAATGAACCACTCGAAGTCCGCTTTGAATCCTCATAGTTCGCAGCTGCTTCTCGCCGGATTCGAACCGACAACCTGTAACAACTTAAGAGAAGCGCCGCCACTAGCGCACATGCGCTAACAACTAGACCATAGGAGTAGTGATGCAAAGAGGGCACAAGTTTCGACGTAGAGGCCGATTGAGAGGTGGGAGGGGGAGGGGGGCAAGATCGTGCTGCGCGAGCTTGCATTGCGAGCTCAGGTTCGAAAGGGACAAGTTCAAGTCTTGACACCCGCATTCGAGCCTTGACACTTGAAGTCGACGACGGCTGCCATTGCGCGCCCAACTTTGTCTGTCCATCGCATCCATGATTGAGCATTTGACACTATCAAAACACTATGCGCATTTATAGTTGCAAGATCCAACACAGCAAAGAGTGCTGGCAGACTTGGACTAGAGCTCGATCTACATCCTCGCGGCGTCGGCACTCGCGAGCGGTCTATAGTCAAGAAAGTTGATCGAGGTTTGATCGTGAATCTTGGATGAGTTGGGTCGCGGGTCGCGGGTCGTGAGGCACAAGCGCTAGGCACGTGACAGCCCATCGAATCTGTCACACACGCGCGAGTGCCGCCAAGTTCATGATTTCGCGACTTGTGAATGTGAATAAGGAGAGCGTCGAGTGTCGAGAGTCAAAAGTCTTGAGCAAGTCGTCACAGCCGCGTCAAGAAGATTAGGATCTAACGCTCATTCTTCTTCAACCTGATAAATGGTCTCCTCGCGTCTGCTCAAGCAACCCACCTACCTTTCAGGCCTTCAACGACCTGCACAATCATCCCCACCACCATCGTCATCATCTATCGGCAGAGAGTGAGGGAGTGAGAGAGAGAGAAAAAGAGAGAAGCATCATGTCTCTCACCAAACCTCAAGCGACGCACGTCTCGTTGCAGACGACTCAAGGCACCATCCTGCTAGAGCTGTACACTCAGCATGCACCTCGAGCCTGCGAAAACTTTAGCACCTTGGCATCTCGCGGCTACTACAACGGCGTAAGCTTTCATCGCATCGTTCAAGATTTCATGATCCAAGCTGGAGATCCTACAGGCACGGGTCGAGGAGGCAACTCGATCTACGGAGGCAAATTCAAAGATGAAATCGATCCTCGCTTGAGATTCACTGGCGCTGGCATACTCGCCATGGCTAATAGCGGACCCGATACCAATGGAAGTCAATTCTTCATCACGCTCGCTCCTACTCCATTTTTGGATCGAAAACACACAATCTTTGGCAGAGTGGACAAGGGCATGCTGGTAGTGCAGAGATTGGCAATGGTCCCCGTAGATGCGAATGACAGGTGAGCATGCCCAGCATCGAGGCGGCGCGGATGTCTGCGCTCGGTCAAGACGTGTGATGCAGCGTGGCCAGCGGGCTCATCTATCACATCAGCTGATAACAACGCTTCTCGCTCCCCTCCAGACCCCGCGACGAGATCAAGATCCTCAGTGCTCAAGCAATCACAGAGTGATCGCCGAGCTTCGCACAGAGTTGTTGATAGGGGGAAAAGAAAAACAAATCGGAGGCACGCCTCACAGCTGGCAAGGGAGCGATTCGAGAGGGCACAGCATTTGCAGCCGTTGGTAATTCGGCAATCACAATCAATCACTGCCGCTCTGAACTGGGATCATCTACAGGCACTGGCGCGCCATCGCGCGTGCACAAGCAACGCAACCATGCTGTGGCAATGTCCGCACAGCCACGGCACTTGGGGCATCAATATCGGCACATTTGGGTGGATCGTCAGCCTATGGGACCCAAGATGGCGAGAAAGAGAGGATAGACGTTTGCGCATTTGCGCTGTCATCAAAAAAGAACGCCATCTTGTTTATCCTCCTCCACCCCCCATCGACCCACCAAGTGGTGCAGGTCTGCTCCGCAAGGTGGCAATGATCTCACAACGACCGCTCATCGCAAACAGATGGTCATTTTATAACCTTCTCTGCCCTCCCAGGGTCATTATGATCGTGCGCAAACACGCAAAACCAGTCATCGTAGTTGGCTCTGTACAGACCATCGCAAAGGATAGCTTGTGGACACTTTTCGACTATGGTTCACAGCATCCTTCTAGGCCTTCTAGACTGTCGCCAGGAGGCAATGACTCTTGTTGCTCAATTGAAAGCATGACGATGTGATTGCAGCAGACCTACGAGCACAGCATCATCTTTAGTCAAACGGATTGCCTCCAGAATCGGCTAGAGGGGTTGGGTGGATGGATGGATGGATGATTTGTGGGATGAAACGGTTGCAAAAAGTCAGGTACGAAAATGTTTGTGAGGGCGCGACTTGGACGTCTACCTAGGCCAGTAACAAAATTGTGAGAGGATGAATGTCAGAGGATATCCCCGCAATCAAGGTGCAGGGCTCTGCGTAAGGTGAAACTTGTCGCGCAGAATGCTACAATATCCGAATTCCTTAGTCTTGCTCGATGCGCATCCTCCTGTTTGCTTGTTGACAGCAAGCTCATTCGTTCGAAAGCATCCGCAGCAACGATGCCAGGCTAAGCGAACGAAAATCACGGTGTAAGCGACGCGCGCCGGACGATCTTTCGAGGCGCATATCGATGTCGAGCGTTACTCACATGCGCTGACTCATTGGCTTGACAATGAAGCCATCAAAACCATATGAGAAAGCCTTGCGTTTGTTGTCTTCGCCGGAGTGGCCCGTAATGGCAAATATCTTGGCTCGCGAAGCAGCCCTTAGCGCACCCGGCGTCCCAGCAGGCGTCCTAGAGCCGGAGGGACCCGCGTGACTGCGCCACGCTGATGGTGCCGACGTTGCGCCCACTTGCTGTGCTGCCCGCGCTCTTTCGCTCTCGATTTTGCGGATTTGCGTCGTAGCTCCAATCCCGTCAAGCACTGGCATGGACAGGTCCATTAGGATGACATCAAAGTGATGAGGCGGATAGGACTCAAACACCCGCACGCCTTCCTCTCCATTTGACGCTTCTACGAAGTCCACATCGAGCTTGCCTAGAAACGCAGCGAGAACTCTGCGGTTGATGGCATTGTCCTCGATTGTCAACACCCGCATGCGTCGGCGGATGTGGCTATTCTGCACAATTCGGGCGCTGTGGAGCGCGGTCTTCAGCACAGCTCCATCACCACCTTCTAACGAAATGACCGAGCCAGGCGAGCTCGGCGAGGACGTCGCTGGGTGGGATGCCGCAGAAGACCGATCGGACGCAGCAGATGCAGCCGTCGCACCCGCTCCAAAGTAATCTGACGATTCAGAGCTGTCACGTCTCTTTGACGCGTTGTGCGGGTGATGTGGCGACATGTGCACATGCCTTTGAAGCCTAGGCTCATTGAACGTAATGCTCCGGGGTGGCATCAAAGGGCGAGGATTGCTGCCTTTCTCGGATGTGGGCGACACCTTTTGGATCCGGTCGTGATCAGAATGGCGCCTCAAAAGCGTGCTGGCTTCGTTGTCCAAGGGAGGTAGTGGTGACATGTGGTTCTCGTAAGCGCCTGGTGTAAGGTCGTCCGATCGGGAGGCGGTGGAGCGATGGGGCCCCGATGACTCGCCCCTCGGCGTCGCAGTGGCGTTGCTGAAGTAGGAAGACTCGCGCTCGAGCTCGGGCTTTCGATGCGGCGACTGGGCAGGGGATGGCAAGACCATGTCGTGCTTTTCACTGTCACGTAATAGCGGCTCTCCCCGTCTCGCCCTTTCTAGGCACTGCAGCGAGAAGTCGACCAGAGCCTCGAGCTTTGCGGGACCCGCAGGCTTGAAGAGAAGTCTAGCCACTCCTCCAGCTTTGTGGTACTGATCGCACGCAGCTGTGGCCTCCGCATCTCCTCTGACACTTGTTAGCAAGATGGCCGGGGGCAGCCATCCACTCTGTGGAGACTTCCTGTGCGAGAGCTGCTCGAGGATGCTGAAATCCTCGTTGACAATGACAATGTCACCTCCAGTAGGCACCAGCTTGAACTTCCACCAATCTTCCGTGTAGCTTCGCAGGACTTCTAACAAGTCATTGTGGCCTCTAGAAGCTCGGTCAAAGCCAAGGAGCGAGATCGAAGTCTCTTTGCCAACATCGAGAGCTGGCCTGTATATGAGACCCTCGGCATCCGCAGCGTGTGCAATCTCCAGCTCGCAGGTAACCCGCATTTCCGTCCCTTGTCCTTGCGTGCTCCAGACATCGATCTTGCCGTTGATCGACGGTGATTGAACAATACTGTTGACAATGGAGAGACCGAGACCCGTGCCAGGTCCCAGGTGATTCTCTTGCGTGAAAGGATGGAACAACTGCTCTTCGAGGAAGGCTCTTGAGATACCCTTGCCCGTGTCCGTCACGCCGAGCTCCACCACCACATGGGTTTCGGAGCTCTGCACTTCTCGAAGGGAAACGTGGACGAAGCCTTCCGATGTGAACTTGAGCGAATTTCCTATCAGGTTCATCAGCACGCGACGAATGCCAGCCGCATCGCACTTGACGAGCCAGCCTTGGGGGCGACAAGTGATGTCGATGACAGTCTCTACAGCAGCATGGGCCAGACCATGACCCAGGCTCTGTGTAGTGCCAGAGTTTGAGCTGCCTCCAGATCCCTGTGCGTATGCGCTTCCGATGCCCGACGATTGGGAGCTCTCGAGCTTTCGAGCCATTTGTCCGATCCAGCTACTTTCACAGACTTCCTGGACCAGCTTGACCAGATCGCAGCGTTGAGTCGGCTTCGCAGAGCTCTGTTTGGCGTGGGTGTTGCCGCTGAGCTTTGTGAAGTCGAGCACGTGATTGACCAACTCCAACAAGCTTTTGCCACACGCCTCCACGGTCTCAAGATATGAGCCCTGAGTAGCGTTGATCTTTGTCTCTGCCAGGAGCTCGGCTGCAGCCAAAATGCCGTGCAGCGGAGTCCGGAGCTCGTGTGATATGCTTGCAAAGGGATAAGACAGCATGAGCGTTGCTTGCGCTTAGCTGCCCGAGCGAGACCCGCTAAGACTCACTTGGAGATGAAATTGCTCTTCGCCTTGTCGGCCAACATGATATCCTTCTTGAGTATCGCACTCAAAATGATTGTACCCATGGCTCGAAGATACTGCAGGCCGGACTCTTTGATGTCTTGCAGTTGTGGTCCATCGCCTGTTGACTTCGAGTATGCGCAGAGCAATGCGAAAGGTTGCTTGTTCAGGCCGAAGATCGGAACGAGCAGGAGATTTGTCATGCCCTCGGGAAGTAGATGCCTGAAGGGTACCGGTGCGAACGAATAGTAGCAGCCGGTGCGATGATGACGCAAGAACTCCGCCACTTTAATGTAGTGAGCGAGTGGCACGGGTGCGTCACGTCGCGAAGGCGGCGGTGAAGATTCTGACGAGCCAAGAACAGCCATCGGCGGGACTGCCTTTTGTTTCAGCTCGTCTGCACCTCCAGCAGAAGGCACTCCATCCGTCTCGAGCACACCTTCGATTGTCGACGGATCATCAAAGCTCGCGTAAGGAGCCGCGTCAGGATTCTGATATGGCGAGGGGAAAAAGATCTTTGAAGACGGTGCGTCGCCTTCGAAGGCGGGCGCATCCACGAGCTCAAAGTGTGACAAGTCAAATACGATTGCCCCTGATGCTTGCAAGGCTTCGCGCATGCCTTTAGCCGCGAACGCATAGACTTGGTGCATGCCAGGACTCTCCTCGCCATTTGCCGACTCGTTCGACTCCATTTCCAGGCACTCGCGGGTGAATGTCTCGATGGAGTGCTGCATCCGATCACGTATTCTCAGATGGATCTGTCACAAAGATCTCGCGTCAGCTGCGTCCTACCTCCCTGTTCCTCGCCAGTGGCACTTACTGTATCGCGAGACAATTCCATTTCCCGCATCACGACTCTTGCAAACTCTCGCAACGTGTGCCTTTGCCTCGGGTTGAACTCTGTCCATGGCTTGTCGTCAATGATGCACAAGCTTCCAAGATTATAGCCGTCTGCGGTCCGCAAAGGGCTGCCTGCGTAGAAGCGAATGTATGGTTCGCCAACAACCAGAGGGTTCCCTGCAAATCGCCAATCTTTCAAAGCGTCTAGTACCACGAAGGGCTCGTCACTGTCCTGCAAGATGGCATGTGCGCAAAAGGAGCAATTGCGTGATGATGCAATGCTGTCCAGGTGAGGACGCGGTTGCGGTCAGTCTTGGTCAAGGGGAAGAAGGTCGCGGACAAAAGTGCTCACCTCTGAAGCCACGCTGGAGACCGGGACGCGCCTGCGGTTCCCGCCTGAGTACGAAAATGCTGAGTCGACTCGCCCACGAGCGAGACGAGAACCAATTTGGTGTTGAAGACCAGCTTGACCAGATGTGCCACTCGGTCGAAATTGGCGTCGCTGGACACCTTTGGCGGACCGTACCGCCGCAGAGCACCTCGGCGGTCCACATCGTTTGGAGGCATAATCGCTGGCAAATAACCGTTGATTCTATAGAAGTCCTCTACCCGTCGACCCACGTTGTAGTACGCGTGAAGGTACGGGGCAACACCACTTCCTTGCGGATTCTTCTGCTCAGCAAGGATCGCCGCAGCTGCTTGAAAGTCTTCTGAAGCTCGGCGCACTTCAGAGGCTCGACGTGACATTGGGGCCGAGCCTTTGGAGTCACTGACCCATGGAGCTGCGGGCATGGGGCAGGCCGAAGCTTCAGCGGCTGCTTCATTCCACCGATCAGCTTCGCTCGGTTGACGGGCCCCTTGAGGCGATGCTCTCAAGCTGTCAGACCTCGATCGACTGAAATTCGATCTCATCTCAGGTGCGGCGTTGACCTGTGGCAGCGTCTCGCCCGTGACCGTCGCTTCCTCTACATCCAATATCCGCGTGCGCGCCTCGCCTGCGTGGTAGCTTTGACTGTGGTTAGGCTTCTCCTGCCTTCGCTTCCCTGCAGAATGACTGTCGCGGCGCGAAGTAGCGCGTTTTGCTGCTCGCCTCATTCCGGCCACTGTGGATGTTTCAATGGCATGTTCCAGCCCATGTGGGGGCCCTTGGTCATGACGAGCGCTTTGCACCGAAATATCTTGATCCGCTCGATTTCCACCATGTGAAGCCAGGGTATTGTTGAAGCTGTGAAGGTATCCCTCTGGTGCAGAGGACCAGGTCGTCGGTTCTGCATGCGAGCCATCCAGCTGCAGAGGCTGGACTGGCTTGGGTCCGGGTCTGACCTCGGTCGAGGATTGCGAAGCCAACTGTTTCGCAGCGGCCTCGACTCGAGCGCTTTCGTCGTTCAGCAGGCCGCCCGCGATCCTTTGCAGCTTTGCCTGGCCACGAGTAGCATCGATGTCGGTGCTGGACGAGTGACCACTCGATTGCGCGGAGGAATACGTATGGTTGGACGCGCTCGGCTCTCCCTCTGATTGCAGCCTTGAGCTCATGTTTCCCATGGAAAGGTGAGCGGACTCTTGAGAGGTACGCGCTCTTTGCTTGGTATTGCTGCTGTCTCCCGCGCTGCTTTGTCGAGGGACTCCTTGGCGAAGCAGATCATTGTCCACGCTGTCGTCCTGAGAGAGGCGCCAATGCCATACTGAATCATCTTGGGTTCGCACCCCATCAGATGCCACTCTAGGAAGGCTCTGTCGTAGCAACTGATCTCCATACATCGTTGGCACTGATTTTGAAGTGTCAGACGAGAACTTGGAAATCGAGCTCGACTTCGAGTCACTCAAGAGTGGCAGTGTTATGGCCATGTTTGGGGTACTCGCTGATGCCAGCTCGGAAAGCGGCAGGGAATCGAGAGCGCCTTCGCGCCCTGTTGCGACATTCGCATCGCTACGTTCATGGTGGCTGACATCGGGACCAGACCTACGCGAGGCGGTATCGTGGTGGTATCCCCCGGACCGCCGCATGGGAGGGGGTGTCCGGGACTGAAAGACCGCACGACCCGGCCAAGGGTCTGTGCTGCTGCTAGCATCTCCTGACGATCTCCTTTTGCCTTCTTGAAAAGGTACCGAGGATTGCGAAGGCTGCAAAGGATGTGGCTGGCCCATAGGAGGTGGCAAGTAGGACAGAGAAGGTCGTCTTAACTCGAGCCCATCAGGTCCCACGGCCGGCGAAGCGGCCGACTTTGGTGACACGGCCGCCTCAGCTACAATCTCCGCTTGCACGCCTGGATGTGCTGTAGAGCGCGATGGGGGCCAAGGGCTACGAACGGGGTCGAAGCGGCCACTACGATCGCGAAAGCAAGGCTGATCAGTCGAGCGTGGACAAAGTGCGTCCATCGCCAATGGCAACTTACCGCGCATAAGCGAACACGAAATTAGCCCAGTCGTAATTCCCAGCAATGGTGCCTCCCGCACTGGTCCAAGGAGGCGGCGCACTCCGGTCGGAGCTGATTGGAGGGCTAGCAACGTCCCCTGAAGAAGGCAAATCTCTCACAATGCCAGGAGGTGTACCTGCAGGTGGCGGTGCGGATTGCCAGATGCTCATCTCTTCGTCGTCTGGGCCCGGTATCTCTGCAGAGCTGCACGAAGAAAGCGCAGCATCCACGACCGGATTGGCCTCATCGGCATCCAACATCTCGAGAGATGGCCGGCTGAGCGCGATGGATGTGGATCTTTGTGGGGTACAATTGCCTCCCAGGGTGCCTGAAGTGACGTGGTCACGATGGACGCCGTTGATAGAATCAGTGTCGGACATTGCCGCTTCGTATCTGCTTTCCGCTTGTGTAGACTCTCGGTCTGCGGATGATGCACTGAGTGTTCTTGATCTCTCTCCGGCGGAATGCGTTGCGGTAGTGTTCCAGCTCTGCCTCCATCCACCTCCACGACGTACAGCGGCTCCGGCGAAGGATGACATGGTGCTAGATCTAGGCGAGGAACTGCTCGTTGCGGAAATTTGGCCCCCAGCGACAGTCATGGGTGACTCTGCTCTGACGAGGTGTCGAGGAAGACTAGGCATATGGTCTCGAGATCCTGCGGATGTGCGTGGTGTTGATGACGCCGTTACTGCTGCTGCGAGCTGGTCTCCGGATACGACAGGAGAGCCAGAGGCTACTCCGGCTGACCCTGGCGCTGATGGCGCCACCGAGGTTGAAGGCGGCTCGGGCATGACGGATTGGGCGCGAGTGCCACTCGAGACGAAGATGCAGCGGTGGAAGTCGCCTCCCTTTAGATCAACAAAGACATGCTATTCGAATCCGTAGGGTATGGGGTGCTGTGCAATCGTGACTGGATTTCTGGGCGACGTGCAGCGCAGCCAAGGTTGTAGTGTTGAATGGCTGAGGCTGGGGAAGCCGGGACAGCGAAGCCCTTGCCGCTTGGTCGACGCTCCGAAACACGCTCTGGCTGATGAGAAAAGGACCGATTGGGACTTGAAGAGTGAATCACAAATGCTGCGAGTGATCTCTGTTATCCAAGGAGCCACGAACCGAACGCTACGGCGGCTTCAAGGGCGGTGACAACGGCAAGCAACGACGATGATGACGGCGCGGTGCTGCTGCTGTTGCTGCTGCTGCCGCTGCTGCTTGCTCATCGCTGGATTCAGTCACGGGCCACGCATCCAAATTGAGCGCCGCAAACGCACATCAGGCTTGCACCGGTCGCGTCAGCCTATACAGTCAGCATAGTCACGAGTAAGGCATCCACGCTCTCTGGACGTTGGCACGCATGCATGCGTTGCGTCGGTCACTCAACAGCAGCGGTGCATGGCAGCCCAGCTGTCTGCCTGCTGCGTTCGAGGCAATTACGCGCCAGCATCGATCGCTTGCTGCTCCTCCTGATGACTCTTGACTGCTGCTGCGTGCTGCAATTTCAAGGCGTGGCGTGGCCCGGCCCTCTGCCGCGGGGCTGCTCCTGAAGCACATGGCACCGCAACGCGCGCACCATCGAAATCGTGAATGAGGGCGGCGAATGTAGCTAGCTAGCTACTCATCAAGAGTGGGTGTGGGTACGCGGTGCCTACCCGCACACATGCTGCTGGTGCACATTGCGAGACTCTGGAGTCGCACATGTGCCAACAGGCGGTCTATGTGTGCGCTTCAGCACGAGCCCATGCGCATAGCAGACACACGAGCCTTGACGAGCGGGAGCTTGCGAAAGCTTTGCTTGCAACGTCTTGATTAGCGCGCCGGATTCACGAATTCGATATGACGTACGTTCCATGCACTACTGTCTGATTGTGTGAGATCACGAATACCGCTCAGAAATCAGAATCACCCGAAATTGTCAAGAAGGCCGCGTGGAAGCGTGCGCTCTACCGTAGCTCCGTAAAGCGCTGCAAACTTTTTTTTTTTTT